TCGGCCAAGCCGACCCCCTCGGCGATCGGCCGCCCGATCATGGATCGGATGGCGCGCCCGCTCGACCAATCGATCGCGTCGGCCGTTGCTTTGATCGATCGTGGAAAATCTGTCGCATATCTACCGATCGCGCCGACCGTCAATTAATCTCACTGCGTCGATCGCGCTGGCAGATCGCCGGTAGCGAGCAGACGAACCCGAAATCGGCGCTGTCCGAACGAGCCGTCGCGAGAGGCCCAGCGCGCGACGCCGCCCTCGGCGAAGCCGGAAGGCGGCGGGCAAAGCGGGCATTGCAAGCGGGCAGCGGAGTTGAACGTGTCCACGCCATCCGCTGTCCACCGTTGGATCCTAAGGATCTCCCCCCAGGCCTTTGCCAACGACGTGGGCTCGGATTTCTCCACGTGGGCGATCGCTGTGGATTGCTCCATTGCGACGGAGCGAGAGGGTCGCAGCGGTTTGAATTGCGGAGAGTGGCAGAGCCTACTCTTGAGTGTATATTGCAGCGAACCCCGGGAGCAACGCGTCGACGCGTGATACTGGCGGGCGTCGTCATAAGTTGCAACGGCAATTCGACTACCTGTTGCGCGAGTAGTCAAGCGGCTCGCCAGAGGTCTTCCAGGGAGGCATTACGACGTTCCAGTATGTATCATTCCAGAACCCTGGCAAGGCATCGATTTACCGAACGCCTGTCACTTCAACGCCATGCTACGCGATCAAACATGATCATGTGATCAGAACAAACATCCGTGCCGACAGCGCACGCGCACGCGCCTGTCACAGACGTGCAAGAGGCCTCTGACCCACAACCCGATCACGGTGGCGTGATGTGTTGTGATCAATCAAATACACACCCGCTTGGCTGTTTAACGCCCACTGTCTGTGCCTTTTTCTGCGAACGGCGCATCCCATTTAACCGACCTGCGCGCGGTCGGATTCTTGTACGTGCAGTCTCCGCCTGCGCCGCGGTTGCGACCCACTCGGGCGTGGCCCCCCCGCCCATGCGGCTTGGCGCTCCCAGCTGCTCATAGTACTCCTTGGCTGCTACCCCACGAGCAGGAGCAGTTTTAACACATGCTCAGGTCAACGATAAATTATGGATGACGTGCATTTTTCTGACGCGCTTGGGTCTCATACCAATATTATGAATGCAGCGAGCGCGAAGCGAAGCAACGGAAGGCAGGCTCTGGGCGTTTCGCCCGAGGTTCCAGCTCCCCGAAAGGACGCGCTCTGGTCAATATGAACTCCAGGCAACCCCCGGCGGCTCCAACAGATCGCGAGAGCGACGGCGACGACGAAAAGGGCCCTTCCGAGCCTTTGCAGGCGACGACGAAAACGTTATACACTTCCAGCGCTTGCAGGGACCGATCCCCCGGTGGCTCCAGCAGCGCAAAGGAGCGACGGCGACGACGAAAATGTTCCCTTCCAGCCCCTGCAGGGATCCACCGGTGGCAACAGCAGCTCAAGGGAGTGACGGCGACAACGAAAACGGTCCTTTCGAACCCTCGCAAAGCCCCCCCAGCGGCTCAAAAAGCCAAACGTAGCGGCAACGACACCAGAACGGACCCTTCAGGCCCTTGTCCGAACCCCCTGGTGGTTGCAGCAGCTCCAGGGAACGACAGCGATGACGAAAACAGATACGTATATGTATGTACATCGCCATACGCATATATATACGCTTACACATACATCTACACATATACATGCACGTGCACATGCACGTACACATACAAGTGCTACGTATACGTATACATATACATATACATATACATTTACACATACGTCAACGTAGACATGAAATCATGCACGTTTCCTTCGATATACGCATACATATGCGAATGCATTGATATGTACATATACGTATACGTATACACATACACATGCACAAAAACTTGTCGAATGCCTCCAACATCCTTCTCGTTTTTTGTGTGTGTGTGTGTTTTCTTTCACTGTGTGCGCAAGACGTTCGAATATGTTACTTTCTTAGTGACTCGTTTGTTCCATCCTTCTAAGAAAAAAGCTGACAAGTAAGAACATCGATTGCATCCACAAGCGATTACGATTTTCTGATGTTATGTGCCTTCGCCATTTCAATACAAATTGGTTTAGGATGTGCGATGGCGCAGATCAGCTGTTATCGGTCACCGCCGTTTCTCTCCCTCCTGTTTGCTCCTCCCCCTCTCCCTTCCGATTCTCCTCCACCTGTTTTTTCCCGTTCCTCCAAGATCCTCTTCGTTTCCACAAGCTAAATGGGATTCATCCTGTAGCGGTTTTCAGTGGGATTCTTCGTGTAGCGGTTTTCAATGGGATCTTTTTTGTAACGCCTTTCGATCGGATTTTTGTTGTAACGGTTTTCAAGAGTAACCCTAGTGTAACGGGTTTCACCAGAATGTTTTGTGTAACGATTTGCAATCGATTTTTTTGTGTAACGGCATTCAGTAGGATTCCTTTTTGCAACGGTTTTCAGTGGGAACTTTTTTGTAACAGCCTTCAAACTACGTTCGTGTGTAACGAAATGGAATTCATTGTGTAACGGCTTTCAGTCGGAGTCTTGGTGTAACGATTTTAAATGGGATTCTTTTTGTAGTGGCTTCCAAATATATTCATTTTAGTAACGGTTGTTTTCGATCGGATTCCGGTTGTAAGTTTTTATCAATGAATTAGTGTGTAATGGTTTTCGATCGGATTCCTGTTGTAATTTTGAGATTTCATTTGGATGTATGTTCCGTTTTTGTTTCATTGTTTCATGTATTCAGCGTTTTCGCCAATTGTTCATCGAAGCACAAGGCTTCGCCTGAGAGTCCTTCAGAATGTTTTAAACTAAGCCATTTTTGTGTGAGAGAGTGTCAAGCGAAATTGGCAGAATTTATCAAACATACAAAACAAAATAACCGGAAATACCAATTTCGGCTGACATTCTCTCAAAAAACAGACGGCCCAAAACGATTATATTCAATTTTGAAGACCTCTCAGGCGAAACCTTTTTGCTTATTTTAAAACATCTAAACAGTTTATTTTTCATGTCAAAGACACGGAGAAGAAATCCGGATGAAATCCCACAATTACAAAAGGAATCCGATCGAAAGCCGTTACACAAGGAAATATATTGAAAACTTATTGAAAGCCGTTACAGAAGCAATTTGAGTCAAAGTCGTTACACTAGGAATCCGATTGGATACCGTTACAGAAGGGATTAAATTGAAAGTTATTACAAAAGGAATCCGATTGAAAACCGTTACAAAAGGAATCCGATTGAAAGTTGCTGCAGCAATTATCCAACTGGAATATGGCTCGAAGCCGTTACAAAAGGAAAATATTATTGAAAGCCGGTACAAACGGAATTTCTTTAAGGCCGTGAAAAGGAGTATTACTGAATCCCTTTGAGAAAATCTTCAGCGCAAGCATTTACAACAACAGCACACAAATGAATGATAGAGCGAAGCACTTTCGAATTGATTTGTTTGGGTCAACTAGATTCCCCCGAGGGGACTCCCAGCAGAGCCCGTTCTCAGGATTTGAGGCTCCGGAATCTCTTAGGGTGCGTTGGCGAGCTCGCCCCCCCCCACGGGAGGGGACGGGGAGGGGCCCTTCAAACTGGATTTTGGGTTCCCGGGGAGGGGGAAAGGGGGATGGGGACAGCCAAATGTCTCACACGCCGCTTGAACCCCAAAAGGCGAGAATCGTTGGACCCGTGTATTGTTGATGATATGGTTTGGTAATGCGGTACTTTGGATTTCTGGATTCCGATTCGATACGAACTTTTGTAAAGTCGTATTTGTTGTGTCTTCATGTTCGGTCTCATCGACTCGGACCCCTTATTAATCCAGTCGATGTGTTACTCGTATTTCTTCGTCTTCTTCTTGCGAGGTGGAGGCCCTGAGCACGAGGATGTGGTTGCCAATCGATCCAACATGGTTAGTTGTCTTGTCCAAGTTGCTGTTGCACCCCCTTGCGGAGCTACACGTTGTTGCGTGGAACTGTGGAGGGTCTTGGCTGCTCGAATCGGCAACGCCGCCAGGGGGGTTGGCTCTACGCTTGTTGGGAACAAGAAGGGCCAGATGTCCTTCTCTCCATCCCCGGCGGGGAGTTTCCCCCCCCGCGCTTATCAATTGTTGTGACGCGCTTACAGAATCCCCCAGCAGTGTTCGCACTTAGAGGCTTCGACTGGCTTCTAACGTTATTGGACGAGTCTGTCGAGGTTTCGCCTGGTGCCCAGTTGGTGCCCGGTCTGTCGCACCTCGTGGGCGCCCCACTCGTTGGGTGCACCCCATAGCAAGCACCAGATAGCTTGTATTGCATGACATCGTAGCTTGCACCACAACTGGCGCCACAGCTTGCAACACATAGGTCGCACCACATAGGTTACACCACATAGGTTGCAGCACAGCTTGCACAGCAAAGCTTGCACCACATCGATTTCACTGCATAGCTGACACCACAGACCTCACACCACAGTGCTAACACCACTAGTCTCACACCATGCAACTTACACCATCGATATATATATATATATATATATATATATATAATATATATTTAAACATATGTGTATACATATATATATATACATACCACGTCGGCGCAATAGATTACACTATACCACAAAGGTTACACACTGGGCGCAATACATAATTATTTGGGGCCCACACTGTATATGTGTATTGAGAGACCTGGGGTATGTATGATCCAGGGCTCGCCCCCCCCCTCATGCTGATGCC